CCCTCCCCACGCACAAAGGCCGCGGCCTGGGGTCCTGGCACTGCGATTGACCCCCAGCACGCCTGCACAAGCCAACCACCCCCCTTGCTCTCTCATAAACAAGCACACACCCATACACACAACAGCCACTCGATTCGACACATACTTACGCACACTCATGCCCCGCACCCGCACCTGCACAACCCCCACCCCCACCCTCCCTACACACGCGCAGCCCACCCCACACACACACACCTGCACGTCGTCCCCAGTGACCGCGTCCCGCAGGTGCATGCGCGCGTGCGCCTCCGCCATGCGGATCATAGACTCCAGGTGTCGTACCGCGATGGGCATGCCGTGGGTGCGGCTGGCCTCGCGGCGCAGGTCGGTGTACACGCGCACCAGCATGTCGTGGTCGGACTGGGGTGCGGTCGGGGGCGGTTGGGGACGGCAGTTGAGAGCGGCGGCTAGGGCGCTTTGTAGTGGCGGTCGAGGTGGCGGTGGTGATGGTTGGGCGGGTGGAATTGGCGATGTTTGGGGGCCATCGTTGGATGGCAAGAGTTGCGAGGCTGTGGAGGGCTGGGCGAGGATGCACCTCAGAGGTCGAGAGGTCGGTGAAAATGGGCGCCGCCCCGATCAAGGCCGCGAGCCAGGGTCCCAGGTGAGGGGGCCGCAAGCGCAGGCCGGACAGCTCTGTGACCGTCTGCCGCCGCCGCGGCGCTGCCTGCCGTCTTTCTCGCGGCCCCCCTCCTCTCACACCTGCGTGAGCTGCGGCCGGCAGTGCTGCTTGGCGTACGTGATGTACTTGCGCAGCACGGCCTGCGGGGTGGTGGGGGTTCAGGGGTTGGGGGTTCAGGGTTTGGCGTTGGTGGGACGCACACTCAGCGCAAGCGGGCATGCAGCAGCATGAGCTGTCTGAGCAGACCGATCCTGCGCGTCCTGAGGTTTGCAGACACCCGCAATATCACACATGGTGGACCTGGCAATTTCACACGCCCTGGGCAGCACGCAACCCATCCCCACAAACCCGCTTCCTGTCCCCTCCCTTTTTGTCCCTCACTCTTGCACAAGAAGACACACACACACACACACACACACACACAACGCTCTCTCTCACTGTTACTCTCACTCTCTCTCCCTCCACCACACACACACACACAATCACACACACACACACACTTACACACACACACGATTGCACAAACACACACACACACCCAATCGCCCCTGCCGCCGCACCCCCACCTGCGGCAGCGTGCCGTCCTCCCCACATGACACGCTCACCAAACAATCACATAACTACACAAGCACACAATCACACCACAATTCACACAAGACAAACACTTACACCCAATCGCGCCTCACCCCACGTGCGGCAGCGTCCCGTCCTCCACACACCACACGCTCACCACTCAATCACACAAGCACACAAACATTCAACCATCATCACACCAGCACACAACCACCCAGGCACACCCAACCCACCTGCGGCAGCGTGCCGTCCTCCCCGACCTGCTGCGCCTCCGCCCTCTCCGCCGCCCTCTCGGGGTCCAGCGGCGCGAGGCTGGGGTGGCTACGCGCGTGGCTGCCAACCACAAACTGCGCCAGCCGCTGGTCGTTGATGGGGTCCACCACGTCGCGCACGACGCACATGCAGTCAAACCTGAGGGTTGACCGGGAGGCGCGGGTCGGTCGGCCGGTCGGTAGGTTGTTCGGTGGGTGGGTGGGTGGGTGGGTGTGCGCAAACGATTTGTTTCTGGTTTGGGAAGGCGGCGGGGCGGGTAGCGATGCGGGTGCCCCTGCACTCGATTCACGCGCTTCATGTAGTCCCTCTCACCCACCCCAAACACACACAGCTGCACACACACCGTTTCCCACCCCAACAAACAGACGCCCCGCCCTGGCGCAAACGCACACGCACAGGGACGCCAACCACCCGTCTCATCAATTGATATGCCCTAATAAATAATACATCATAAGCCCTCACCGCGAGAGGATGGGGTCCGTGAGCTCCACATTTTCGCTGAACGTCTTGCTGGGGTCGTAGCGGCCCCCCACCTGCGGGGGCGCGCGGCGGCGTCAAAGGCGGTCAAAGTTCGGCGTCCCGCGGCTCGGCGGCCGGCGGGTGAGGGTCTGCGGTGCAGGGTTCAGGGTGGGGCTGGCGCAGCGCGGTTCGCGCGGCCCCCGGGGAGGGACGCGTCCTCCCCCACCCCTGTTCCGGCGCACAGGGCCGCTGACGCCGCGCCGGCCGGGGCCGGCCCCCCCCCCCCCGGCCCCGCCCCCGCCGCGCAGCCGCTCCCCGCGTTACCCCGTGGCCGCGCCGAAGAGCGCGCGTGTGCGAGCGAGCGGGCTCACCGGGTTTGCCGCCGCGATGACGCTGCACCGCGCCTGCAGCTGCGTGACGATGCCGGCCTTTGACACGCTGATGGACTGCTGCTCCATGGCCTCGTGGATGGACACGCGGTCCTTCAGGGTTGAGGGTTCAAAGGCGAGGTTTCAGGGTTTGGGTGAACGACGGGCGGGGGAGGAAGAGGGCGGAGGAGGGAACGGGGGCGGTGTCATCGGTGTCGCCAGCCCCGCTCCCTGGTTTACACCCCAGACCACGGGCGCTCGCTTCACCCCAACACCCTTCAACAATCGTGCGCCGACGCCCCCCCTTCCCCCACCTGGTCGTTCATCTTGTCAAACTCGTCGATGAGGCACACACCCCTGTCCGCCAGCACCAGCGCGCCGCCCTCCAGCGTCCACTCGCGCGTGATGGGGTCCTTGTGCACCGCCGCAGTCAGACCCACCGCGCTCGCACCCTTGCCTGCGCGGGGTTCAGGGGGATTGCAGGGGTGAGGGGGGCGTGGCGCGGCACAAATGGGGGGGGGGGGCGGCGGGGTGCACCTCTCCGCCGAGCGGCGGCTGGATCCAGGCCCGCGCCCCGCAAGATCTCCATCCGCCTTCCGATCCGCCGTGTGCCCCCTCGCCTGCCTGCCCGCCCGCATGCCCGACGCGCCCACAACCACACCCTCACCCACACTACACCTGCGCAGGCGTCCCACCGCCATCACAA